CTACGGCTGTGGAGAAAGGGGCCATCTTCGATCCAGCTGCCCTAAGCGAACTGTAGGAAGGGAAGGTGATCGATCTCGAGAGGGTAGTGCGGATAATAGCACCGCCCAGCAGCAGCAGGGAAACTGGCGGGTGCTGGCTGATGTTAAAAGAGCCCCAAGGATTTCGATCTCACAAACTCATGATGGGAACAGCCTAATCATCAAGGGCGAAGTCAACGGAACGCCATGTAAACTGACCATAGACACTGGAGCCTCTCGCACGGTTGTCAGTTCCCAACTTATAATTCGGTTCCTTGGTGACTCCGCATACAACCGAGAACGCATTAATTTGGTGACAGCCACTGGTCAGCGCATACCCGTCCGTGGAGAGAAGGAGATGGAGTTGAAGCTAGGCAACATGATCTACCTGCATAATGTCATCGTGGCTGATATAATGGACGACTGCATCCTGGGCCTAGACTTTATGAGGAAGAATTGTTGTGAGATCGACGTTAAGCAAGGTGTTTTGAAATGTGGACAAGAAGAACTTTTCATGGAAGGGGCGTTACCAGGGAATGTGTACAGCCTTAAGAAGATTGTTCTTCCGCCGAAATCGGAAACGATTGTGCCGGTTAGTCTTCCTCGGAGTCCTGGGCAAGCTCATCGTTGTGTACTCGTGGAAAGGGTAGACAATGACCTTCCATGGAAAGTGGCTCGAACCTTGGTCAGAACCACCGACATCTCAAGAGTACGTGTGTTGAACCTTTGTGATCAGGAACAGATTATAGAAAAAGGCACATTGGTTGGTACTAGTGAGGAAGTGGATTGGTTGCGTCGGTGCGAATATCTATCGACCGGGACCCCTAGCAAGGATGGACAAACGAGAGTGACCACACTTTTAGAAGACTGTCGCAGCGTTCTCTCCCCGAATGAAATGGTCAAGGCGAAGAAGTTGTTATTCAAGTACGCCAATGTTTTCTCGTCAAACGAAGCTGACATAGGAAAGACTGGCTTAGTTCAACACAAAATAAACACAGGACAAGAATTGCCTATTCGTCAGCGGCCAAGAAGATTGCCTGTAGCACGTGAAAAGGAAGTGGAAACCATGATTGAGGGAATGGTGAAGGATGGTGTTATTGAACCTTCATCTAGTCCATGGTGTTCACCTGTGGTGCTGGTAAAGAAGAAGGACGGCAGCATGCGGTTTTGTGTTGACTACCGCCGCCTGAACGACGTTACGAAGAAGGACAGCTATCCCTTGCCTAGAATTGATGACACGCTGGACATGCTCACAGGCGTAAAGTGGTTTAGTACGCTGGACCTGAAAAGTGGCTACTGGCAGGTTGAAATTGACCCTAAGGACAAGGAGAAAACTGCATTTTCCACAGGAAAGGGTCTGTGGCAATTTAAAGTTATGCCGTTTGGATTGTGCAATGCTCCAGCAACGTTTGAAAGATTGATGGAACTTGTACTTACCGGGCTAATTGGAGATGCCTGTCTGGTCTATTTGGATGACATCATCATCGTAGGCCGTACGTTTGAGGAACACCTTCAAAACCTGGAACGCGTGCTCATGAAGATCCAGAGTGCCAACCTCAAGTTGAGTCCAAAGAAGTGCTCACTATTCAAACGGTAAGTTAGTTTTTTGGGGTATGTAGTGTCGGAAGAAGGTATCCGCACGGATCCAGAGAAAATTGCTGCTGTCAAGGAGTGGCTGGTCCCAAAAGACAAGACACAGGTTAGAGCATTTTTGGGTTTGTGCTCTTATTATCGGCGATTTGTGAAGAACTTTGCAGATATAGCCAAACCTCTGCACAAGCTAACCGAGGAGAAGCGACAATTCTGCTGGGATGAAAGTTGCGATATTGCATTCCAGGAGCTCAAGAACCGCCTGTGCAAAACACCTATTTTGGGGTACCCTGATGCGGGCAAGGAATTCATAGTTGACACAGACGCAAGTGATATAGGACTTGGCGGTGTGTTGTCTCAACGGAATGGTGATCAAGAGATTGTGATAGCGTACTTCAGCAAGTCGTTGTCAAAGCCGGAAAGGAACTATTGTGTCACAAGACGGGAATTGCTTGCTGTGGTAAAGTCCTTGCAGCATTTTAGCAAATATCTTCTAGGGCGGAAATTCCACTTACGAACTGACCATGCTGCACTGAAATGGCTATTGCAGTTCAAAAATCCGGAAGGACAAGTTGCGAGATGGATAGAACTACTGCAGGAATACGACTTTGTGATCGAACATCGCAGCGGGAAATCTCATGGCAATGCAGATGCATTGTCAAGAAGACCTTGCCCTGAAGATTGCAAGCATTGTACTAGGCAAGAGGGTAAGGAAGTGGTATCTGTGAGAATGCTCAGGACAGACCAGCTCAGCAATGAGTGGAAGGACAGCCTACAGCATGCACAGCAGGAAGATTCGGACATTAAGCCGATTCTGGAATGGATGAAGGCCAGTGCTCCTAAGCCCAAGTGGAGCGACGTCTCAGCAATGAGTTCGACCACAAAAAGCTATTGGGCCCAATGGGACAGCTTGCTGATTCAGGATGGAGTCCTGTGCCGTAAATGGGAAAATGGTCGGGGAGACAGGTGTCATTTGCAAATGATTGTCCCTAAGGCTAAAGTGCCGGATATTCTACAGCTGTACCATGGTGGTTGTTCAGGAGGCCACCTGGGAGTTAAACGAACTCTCCTGAAGATCCGAGAACGGTTTTACTGGGTCCACTGTCGTGACGATGTCCAGGACTGGTGCCGCAAATGTACAAGTTGTGCGGCTGTAAAGGGACCTCAAATTCGTAGTAGGGGCGCATTGAAATTGTACAATGTTGGTGCACCATGGGAGAGGATAGCCATTGACGTTGCGGGGCCGTTTCCAGAAACTGAAAGTGGTAAAAAGTATTTCATGGTCGTGATGGATTACTTCACTAAGTGGCCAGAAGTCTTCGCCATTCCAAATCAAGAAGCTTCAACCGTTGCAGATAAACTAGTTCATGAAGTCTTCTGTCGTTTTGGAGTACCTTTAGAGATTCACAGCGATCAAGGAAGGAATTTTGAGTCTCAAATATTCCAGGAAACTTGCCGAGTTATGGGTACTCAGAAAACACGAACAACTTCTTACCACCCACAATCTGATGGAATGGTAGAAAGATTTAATCAGACATTGGAGAGGTACCTAGCAAAAGTTGTGGAAAAACGACAACGAGACTGGGATAGGCACATACAACCGTTTTTGTTGTCATATCGAAGCGCTGTTCACGAAAGTACATCAGTGACACCAGCTTACGTAAACTTTGGGAGAGAATTGCGGCTGCCTGCAGACCTGATCACCGGAATACCACCTGATGCCCCACGCAGTATAACCGATTATGCAAATGACTTGCGGAACAAAATGAATGACATTTATGAGCACGTCAGACAGACGGGCCAGTAAACGTCTGAGAAGATGAAAACACGGTATGACCGCAAAATGAACAAGGGGTTTGATGAAGGTTCTCTAGTGTGGTTACACAATCCAGTTCGTAGCAAAGGGAAATCTCCTAAGCTTCAAGCTAAATGGGACGGACCGTACCGGATTGTGACAAGGATCAATGACGTAACCTACCGGATACAGAAAGGTGCCAGAGGTACTCCTAAGATTGTCCATGTGGATCGACTGGCGCGTTATTATGGGGCCAATAATGCTCGGAACGAGCATGTCTTAGGAGGGGGCAGTGTTACGCGCCACTATTAATGTCTTGTACATGGCAACACTAGTTACACTAGCGCCCCCTAGTGTCGAGTAAATGAAAGTATTGCGCGCCACTATTAATGTCTTGTACATGGCAACACTAGTCACACTAGCGCCCTCTAGTGTCGAGTAGCAGAACTAGGAGAGTCGAGATCCTTCCAGAAATTTCGGGACCGATATGTACTCGAACATTCTAGATGTCGCTACAGTAGAAGGTTCTGTAAACTATCTGCGGCCCTATATAAGGCCGGTATAGACCACGACCGGGGCAGTATTGAATTGGCGATACAAGAGAATACTTCGAAGCGAAATAACGGCGAACTGTGTTTTATTATTAGTGTGTTTTTAGATTGTAATTAGTATCCGTAATTAAAGTGTCAATTTTGGTAATTTAATCGGCAGTTTTTAATTGTCTCGAACCCCAAGTTCGTAACATTATCAATTTTTGGTTGACTGATGCTGTTGCATCCTAAAATGCTACAACTTACCATATTTTTCACCTTACCTAATAACTAAGATCCACAAAAAACACTAAATTCAATTACCTGTTTGCTTATTATATCAATATTATTCAAAAGAGCTTGACATCGTTAATGTCAAATAAAGGAGGGAAAACAATCAAAAACGCATACCTAGAAAAAGACAAGAAATATAGATTTGCTTCTCCCTTACTCTTATGTCTAACTATATACGTGCATTGCTTTCACACGTTGATGACGTCACTGAATGTTTAGTCTATAAGATACTATGTCTATGAACAAAAGTCATTGTCAATCAGAAGTCAGAGTTTTTGGCGGGAACTCGACCGGCGGCGGTTTGCTGCTCCTGTATTATAGTTTAAATAATAGTTTGAAGTCGATTTTGATATGTTAAAGTGGTGCGATTTTATGTATTAACTGTGACCGCATGTGAACTATTAGTGGAAACGGTGAAACAAGTGCTCTGATGTTGATGGATTCTCAAGATAAGCCGTTTGTTTGCATAGGCGCCTTTAGATACCATCGCCAACTGTCAGCTGCCTGCTGGCTCAAGTTATCGTCAAAACCTCCCAAGGACTGCACAATGTGACGCATCAACATATTGTGAAGCAGTGAACTATGAAGGATAATTATACATAAGAACAAGGCTGTATGGCATAGTTCCTTTGCCTGCTCTCTCGAGCCAATAATAAAAACAACAACAATCAGAAGTCAACGTCAAGTCAATCAAATTTCAGGAAAGGAATTTCAGAATTAGGACTTTCAACTTCGTTAGCTAAGATTCTAAAGGAAACTAGGTACCTAAAATAATGAACAGCGAATTTAAACTATCACATAAAGCTAAAAAACGTATCAAGGAAGTTAAGAGGAAAGCCAGGCCTGGTAAGAATTGCCTTTTTTTGATATATGTAACCTTAACTTTTTCTATTGTTGCATATTAGCACTAAATTTTTTGTATTTTATCACATCAGCTGAAGTTATTGGTATAAAACGTAATATAAGCTTTAAATTACATTGTGGGCTCTGAGCAAGAACTTCTATGAGTGATCTCATGTCACATGTTTTTCAAAAACTATTTCGACGCTCGAGTCTCATCAGAACCATTAAAATTTTGAAACTGGAAAAATTGTACCTACTTATGATTGTTTTTAACGTTAAAATATAACAATATATATATTTCAACGTTAAAAAACAACAAAACAAAAATTATTTCATAGTTCATTAATTACAACCCATCCTAAGTCCACTGCTGGACGTGGGTCTCCCTCGTAGATTACCTCATAGGGGGATAATAGCCGCACTTTGGCAAGCAAATTAGCAAGCGCAGTCTTTTGTGTCATATTTCAGTTTCAGTTTCCTTCTGACGGGTTGGCTATAGACGGCCAGTACTTGATTGTAATTGTTTTCAGTTTAGGAGGGTTATCAGGGTTAAGCTTGAATCTTTTACATTGTTTTTGGATGTTAAAATTTTTGAATTACTTACAATAACAATAAATTTCAGTAAAAATAGCATATAACGAAATGCAAATATGTTAATTTGGTCTAGTATTATGAAGTAGATTGTTTTGAGGTTAGGAGGGTTAAGCTTGAACCTTTTATACTGTTTTTGGATTTCAGAAATGTGCTTTGGATTATTTACAATAAAAATCTTAAATCTCTAACTGACTAAAAATTGCATATGAAATGGGTCAGTCACCCATAAAAAAGTTAATTACTTGAACCCAGCCAATCCATTTAAAGCTGAAGATGGGACTCATACACAACAAATTGAATTGTAGTGGAGAGCGGTTAAGAGGTTTTACAAATCAAATCGAATCAAATTCATTTATTTGCATAATACAGGTATAAAAGGTGTTACGGAAAATTAGAATATATACACTGTATTATATGTACACAACTTATGAGGTGTGCAAATACAATATTGGGCTACGCATTACTAATTAAATAATGGTGTCTTTAAATCAAAAGGAAAATATGAAGAAAAAAAAATTTCAATAGTTGAGTAAAGTCCATAGGATTAATTGCTGTTGTATTAAATATCTTGAAGTTATATAAAGTCAAAATAAAATATTTTTAATAACACATATAAATTAAATAATGTCAAAATTATAATTTATTATACTAATCTTTTCATATTATTTAATAAGTTTGAATATAGTTATGTATGTTAATAACACTGCTAAGTTTAAATTAAATTTTTCCACTTTTAAATTTTTTCTATTTTAATTTTTAAATCTAAGATTGAAGTAAGAAGTTATTAACTATAGTAGGTACATAGAATGTAAATGAGTGATGTATTCACCAAGTGCCAGTAAGTTCGCCAGTGCGCTATGTTTTGTCTTAAAGACATACAAATATAATTGAGTGTTCTTTTGAAAAATCATGTCATAAAATAAAATAGAATAGAAATAATTGAAATTGGAATACTAATGAAAATTCTACATTTATAAAATTAAATTGATTACAATAACAAAAATAATAATAGACAATAAAAAGTAACTAGTCAAAATTGTCATTCAAGAACTCATCAATTTTATAGTAACATTTGTCTATTAATAACACATTCAGCACCTTTTTAAATTTAAATAAGGTCATATTTTTTATTGAATCAGGTAGTTTATTATAAATTTGTGGGGCAATACCAAAAAAGCTTTTTTTTCATTAGTGATGTTTTACATTTTATGTAACATAACTTATTTATGTAGTGGGTGTGTATTAGATTCTTTCTAATATCAGATATTTTTTGGAAAAGAAATTTGCATTTTGATTTTTATCTATGTCTATGGGCTACAGTGTGGTAAATGTATTCTTACCATCCATCAGTTCATAAAAAGCCTATAAAAACAATATCAAAATATTTTTTCTAAATTCAAGTGACTTGAAGTTACAAACAAATATACAGTTAACTGGTTTAAATGGTAAAGGCTACTGCCCATACCATCATAAAAATATTGATCTTTGATTGTAATACTTTTATGACTATAAGACGTTTTATTTGTTCATGAGTATGGTATTGATACTTTTTATTTGATAACCGTACCCTTGGACACCTGATGCCCATTTTAAATAAAGAAGGCCACAGATGCATTGTCACCTCCACCTAAAATGGAATGCCTCACAGTCTGATATTATACTGGCTATCTATACCCTACAAACTTGAACAAAGCAATAAATAAGTAAGAGGATGGGAGCTACCCACACAGACTTGTAAGAAGAAAAGCAGTCCTACCATCAAGTAAACTACATAATCATTAACAATCGAAACGTAACTGTAATCTATCAGTTACTTATCCATCTGTTAGTTAAAATAGGTATTTAAGGGATAATAGGCAGTTAAGGGATAAGTTGCATTGTAAAGTTCATTTAAGTGCAGGTGTTTTAATTAATGATGCATCCGAGTAACCTTTCACACTACACACGTTAACTATTCTTTACATAAGTACATTTCTAATAAATTATTTTGAAATATAATCATACTTTTATTATAAATAATTATTTCAATTGATAAACTCATGTTGCATCTGTTACAGTTTTATTTTTGGTCAAATGTGGGACATCTACCGTATTTATTTACTATCTTTCTGATTAATTTAAATTTGACTACTAAAAATGAATGAAAATATTAAACTGTCAAAAATTAAATGTTATCTCGTGAAGAGAATGGTTACAAATTATAGCTATTTTATTTTTAACTTTACAGAACTAGTTGACAAACATCAATGGACGGCTTTAAAATATGCAGAAAACTTTGAAGAGTTCCTAAAATGCAATGACAATGTGGATCGAATTAATATTAATGAAGTTCCACAGGATTTATTTATAGAAAAGTATGAAAAAATTTATAAACCAGTTGTGATTACTAATGTACAGACTAATTGGAGAGCTAATCACAAGTGGACCCTAGACCGACTTGCCAAAAAGTACCGTAACCAAAAATTTAAATGTGGTGAAGATAATGAGGGTTATAGTGTTAAGATGAAAATGAAGTATTATGTAGAGTATATGAGGACAACAATTGATGACAGTCCTCTTTATATTTTTGATAGTAGTTTTGGTGAGCATCCACGCAGAAAAAAGTTATTAGAAGACTATGAGGTGCCCAGTTATTTTAGGGACGATTTGTTTAAGTATTGTGGGGAGGAAAGAAGACCACCTTACCGTTGGTTTGTAATGGGTCCTCAGAGATCAGGAACAGGAATACACATAGACCCTTTAGGTACTAGTGCATGGAATGCACTTGTGTTTGGTCACAAAAGATGGTGCTTGTTCCCAACACAAACGCCAAGGGATTTGATCAAAGTGACTGGAGCTATGGGTGGAAAGCAGAGGGATGAGGCAATTACTTGGTTCAAACTAATTTATCCCAAAACACAGTTGGACACATGGCCTAAGGAGTATAAACCAGTATGATACACTTTCTTTAAATCCAGTTTATGATTAAGTATAGTTATGGCTTAAAATTTGAAATATATTTACATCTCACAGCTCACTCCATCCCAGATGTTATAAGTAACTTAGGAAAATAAATGACAATATTTTGTTGTTGCCATTTATTTTACAATTTTAAAGAATTTATTTTCATATTAGAAGAAACGCTTTATGATTTTATGACTATGACTTTTTGAAAAAAAAAATGTGCTTTTGATGTGATACGTTTATAAACAAACAGAAATAGACTATTCAAAAAATTATAGAAATGTATTTAGTTACTTATTTTTAGTAACTCTCAATCATTTTTGTCACAAAAATATACATTGTAGAGACACCTCCAATTTACATTTTTAATGTACATCATTTTTATCATATTGTATGTATAGATTGTAATAGTAAAATGATATAATGAGATAATATAATAAATCAAATCATCAATATTTAAAGTATACTGATAACCATAGCCATTTCCAAGAATGCAAGCACTAATTGTTACAAGCACACAAAGCACAAAGGTGTTACAAGTATGCTTCACAATCATTTAAATTGTTCAGACTATGCAACTTTGTTTAATTAGCATTAGAATGAACACCTAGTCAGACAATGTAATCTACGGTGTAAGTTGAGTTCACCATCATTATCAGCCTTTTTAAGTCTTCTGTCAGGACTTTGAAAGCATAGACAAACTGATATGCATTACAAACATACTTATGTTGGGCCAAAGGGTTGACGAGTGCAAAGCTGACGAAAATAATGCTTTCTACCACTATCAATCTATCAAAGTTAGATTTAGCATTACAGATGGTTTTTTTACCATTGTTGGTATCCAATAGCCTTGTCTATGAATTAGCAGTTTGCTCCGTAGGCAGGTGAGACTGGCATATGGAAATAGAAAAATAAATAAGTGACACAGTGAACACCCTTGCCTTGAAAATACTATATTATATACATAATTATTATTTATTACTAAAAACTTGTCCAAGTGGTGGCAGCGTAAGATTTCTTAGGCCATTTGTTGCCATGGGATTTGTGAGTGGCAAATATGGGTAATTGCAAAAATATGTTACGACTTAAGTTACATGGCGATATAACTACATGGTTTGCGCCATGCGTAAAATGGGTAGCTTTGAGAATTCAAAATAGTACATATATTTTGTCCCATTAATGTATGATCCAAAAATGTCAAACGAAAGGTTCCTTCCATATTATTTTCATTTTGTAATCACTATAACTTTATAAAAAAAAGTTTTTTTTTCTAACTTCCATTTTCGTAATGCATGTCTGTTACGATGTTTTAAAACATATTATTGTATGAAATGCTCGGTGTTGGAGTTATCCATGAACTTGATTGATATTTATGAATTACTTCATCTTATATAAATGTAAACATGTCTTTACTATTTGAGTGCTGTTTGAGTTGTAACAGTAGTGTAGTTTTTAAAATTAAAATTAAGCACAAATTAATAGAGCTTTAAACCGAATAAACTTACTTAGCTTAAAAACTATCAAAGAAAATGATTCTATATGAAAGAAGTCTCAGACACAGCTAGTTAAAAAATAAAAACTTGGATAACCATAAATTTCAGTTTATATTATCAGTTTCTTTTCAATTTGAATATAATTTTTCAGGTTGAAATACTACAAAAGCCGGGTGAAACAGTATTTGTGCCAGGTGGCTGGTGGCACGTTGTCCTTAATCTGGATGACACAGTTGCAGTGACACAAAACTTCTGCAGCCGCACAAATTTCCCAGTTGTGTGGCATAAAACAGTCCGTGGACGCCCCAAATTGTCTAAGAAATGGATTAAAACCCTTGAGAATAAAGAGCCTGATCTATACAAAGTTGCAAGTAGTATGGACTTGAACCAGGGCACTGGTGTTGCTTCAGACAGTTCATCTAACAGTAGCTCTTCTAGTAGTGACAGTGATAGTAGCTCTTCAAACAGTTCAAGCGAAGAAGACAGTGGACAGGAGAGTATTACTGCACACAAGAAGAAGAGAAAAAGGAAAGCCTGAAACACATATAACTTTAATAAAATTATATAGGAATAATGAAATGCACCAAATTTTGGAACTGGAATGAATTATTTTCACTTTTTAAATAAGTTGACCCATTTTGTATTACTAGTGTAATTTTTAATTTAAGTTTGACCTTTTCCGTTGTTTTCTAAATAGTAAACAATATTATATATATCTTTTGTTAACAGATCGTTCAACTGTGAATAAATTTTAGTATTATCATGAATTTCTCAGCTGATATTTTATTTTTGTAGCTTTTCCTAGATATAGGTGTACTGAAACTCAACGTCAAACGGTTACCGGGCGAGAGGCCAACCTTTAGTTAAGTGCATATTTTTGAAGTGTGAAAAATCATCAAAATGAGATTTTGATATTTGGTTTCGACATGACCATAGACATGACTCTATACGTGGTAGAGCCATGCTGCAGCTATATTAGTAGTATAGTTGTAGCACGAATGGGTCGGCTCGACCGGGGAAGGACCACGCTCTCACAGAATACCAGCGTAAAATAGCAGTTTAACGCTGCTGTGTTTCTTATGGTGAGTGTAGAGAACCGGAGACCATTTTTACTGGTAAAGAGGCATTCCATCTCAGTCCTCACGGGTGACAACGCATCCGCATTTTGATTAGCAAACGAGGATAGATGTAGATGTATATGGGTCACAGCAACCACTTACCATCAGGTGGACTGTGTGGTCGTTTGTCACCCTATCCTATAAAAAAAACCATACTACCTAAAGACGTGTCTTTAGGTACGAGGGTGGATTGAAAAGTACTCGGCCTAACACAGATCCATTCAATTCTAAAAATCAAATCTATCCACATTATTTAGTTCAGTTCAGACTAGTTCATTGTGTGAAGTTCGAAACGTGTGCGATAATTAGTTGTGATTTTATAAATTTATTAACAAAGTAATCGGACATAATTTCCGCGAATGGAGCAAATCGAGCAGCGTGCCGTCGTTAAGTACCTCCATAAGAAGGGGCTATCATCAAAAGCCATCCATGATGACATGGTCAGTACATTAGGCGATTGTGCTCTGTCATATTCATCCGTCAAAAAATGGATAGCAGAATTTAAGGGTGTAGAGAGAGTGTGAAAGATGAACCCCGCTCTGGAAGGCCTTCGACGTCAACTACTGACGAAAATATTAAAAAAGTACTTGATTTAATAATGGGAGACCGCAGATTAAAAATTAGAGAGATAGCCGAGATTATATCCATTTCTTATGAATGAACTCAAAACATCATTGTCAACGAGTTGGGTTTCCACAAGGTGTCTGCGAGGTGGGTTCCGCGACTGCTTTCAGTTGAACAAAAAAGGACGCGATTGACTATTTCACGCGACTGTTTGGAGTTATTTGAAGCCGATGCAGATGATTTTTTGAATCGTTTTGTTACTATGGACGAAACATGGGTTCATTACTGTACACCGGAAACAAAACAACAATCAAAACAGTGGAGAAGACCTGGTTCACCACCCCCTAAAAAGGCTAAGTCGATCTTGTCAGCAAATAAGGTGATGGCTTCAGTATTCTGGGACTCGAAAGGTGTGATTATGATTGATTATCTTGAAAGGGGTCAGAATATAAACTCTGATTACTACTGCACCTTACTACGTCGTTTACGAGAGGAAATAAAAGAAAAACGTCGAGGAATGCTCAGAAGAAAAGTCCTGTTTCATCAAGATAACGCCCGTGTTCACACGTCAGTACAGTCAATGGCTGAAATTCACAACTGTGGCTTTGAACTGTTACCGCATCCGCCGTATTCACCTGATCTGGCACCATCAGACTTCTTTCTGTTCCCTAACCTAAAAAAGCACTTGGGAGGTCAAAGATTTTCGACAAACGACGAGGTCAAAGCAGCTGTAGACGCATATTTTGACTCTAAGGAAGAATCATTTTTGTTCAACGGTCTAAATGCTTGGAAGGGGAGGTGGCAAAAGTGTATTGAACTTGATGGTGATTATGTAGAAAAAATAAAAAAAATTTAACTGATTTAGTATGTGTTTATTTTCTTGGTTAGGCCGAGTACTTTTCAATCCACCCTCGTACTACGGTAAAAAAAAATCGCAATTTTTACTAGAACAGTTATTCAGACCTCTCGCCCGGTACCCGTTGAGTTTCAGGACCCTGTGTATGTGATATGCGTCTTGCTGCCTCTGCTCGGCCAAGGCTTCTCCCATTTCTGAGAAGATTATAGACTGGATAAAGAAGTCCGCCGTAAGTGCACCAGTGGGAGTCCAATTTTTATTCAATATTTCAATCACGGGGTTTTCTCGCGTTTTTATACACCGCTGCTCCGTTAACATTTTAAATGGTGTTGGCACATGTCAGACTGTACACCTATTTTTCCCTCTGAAATATCAGTATACAGGTAAAACGAACGCGACATGGACATTAACATTTAACATGCTCACAGTTTACATCATGATCGTCGACTTAAACGGGCGTGTGGAAATATGAGTGAAAACAAAAAATACAATAGTAAGTCGTTGGGTAAAAAATTGGTTGGTTAAATGAAATGCGTACACTCTTATAAATCTTTTGAAGGAAACGGTAGACGGCGGTTGTTCGAGAACAAATGCAACGGCGACGGTGAAGTGCGCCCGCACTCGGCACATCGATTTCGCCAGCTCGCTATTTGCGATGAGAAACCCACGGTTTGGTTTGAATGCTTGGTATGTCTACCACAAAAAGGTGTAGACCAGGCAAGCGTCTGGTGTTCCGATAATGGAATAAAGAGGAAGGAATAAAATCATGCAATTCTACGCACACTTTCCGCAATTTATCCAGTAAAAAACCGAAAGGCAGGCTACTTTGCACTTGTCTTCGGGGCTGGAAAGATTGGTTCTAATAATATTGTTGTCATCTATACGTATCTTAGCATGCCCTTCCATTGCTTTTTGTTTTTTTTTTTAATAAAAAAACACTAGTAATGCTGTTTAAACATTACTACTATTCCCTTTAACCACTTCTGGTAAGCTTAAAATGCTTGTGTTAGTAGTGGTTCACGACAGTAGTCGAATGGTGGATTTGAACCCACGACCTTTCGAATTCGCGATCCGCGCCCTGTCATTAGGCTACTGTCGCTTCTATTAATATTATATTTGTACATTGGATGATGATTATTTGGACATTGTGTCCTAAGCCACAACTTCAATACCCCATGCACGACCAGACTTGCACTTTATATGGTGTAAGCGATTGTCCCGGCTGAAGTATTACCGCACTTTTGCAAGGACTGTCAAATATTGATGAGATTGATACGCACGGCGTTTGCATTCATCAATATTATTGACATACATACACTACGCCCACATATTGTTTATATTATGGATCAAAAATTCTGAAATCCCATAATGTCAATATCATCAATATTATAGATAATGCAGTAAATATTGATCATTTTGTTTGTTATTGAATACTACTAAAATAATCCTTCCGGTGGCTGAAACTTTAATTATTTAGAACTTTTCCTGCATAAAAATGTAGATTTTACGAGAAAAACAATAAAATATGCTCGATCCCGACTCACCCCGTGGTTGGGGTGAAAAGGAACAAAAGAAGGGTGTATCGGGAATTCAGCTAGAGCTGCCAGATTTTTACGAGACACGTTAAAAAGAGGTTTCCAATTTCACTTAATTATGTAAAATAAAACAAATAGAAATTATTTATTTAATGAGATTAGTAATACAGCCAGGAAACAAAATAGCCGATTATTTTTTTAAATTATGTTATTGCAACACGCATTATAAAAATATCATATTCAACAAAAAAAAATTCTCGTAATAACTTAACATTGATAAAATAAAACCTCTTATTAGGACGTAACAAAATAATAATATAAATCGTAGACGAATTATTTTTGAACTTTTTGTGTACTATCCCTTGTGTGTCTAGATACATTTTGACTAAATATCTAAAGTCTGTTGTATCTAGAGTATATCCCCACTCTGCATTTAAGTTTTCTACTCGTTTTCTACTAATAGCTCTTCTATATCTGGGGTTAGCACTGTTTGGTCACCAGTACGTTTTATATTTTTACTGGTATGGCGATGAAGAGTTGATTTTGATATACCATACTTGTCGGCCACAGATTTTATAGACACATGATTAGAATTCAATTTTTCAAGAGCTTTTTTTAATTATTTGCTCATCATACTTTTTGTACTTCTTACACCCTGGTTCAGATTTATAAATGCGAAACATGATAGCGTTCTGTAAACAATGAAAATTATATTTGTATAAATATCATGTACACATAATTAAAAATTAAAAATTTTGTACAGCCGACTTCAATATAAGTTATTAAGAATAACTCATATAACTCAAAAACTATTGGTCTGACCTTGATCAAATTCATATGGGACCACACGAGAAGTATCAGCTTTCATATAAAAAAAGAATCATCGAAATCTGTTCACCCAGTAAAAAGTTATGAGGTAACACATAAAAAAAAAACATACGCGTCGAATTGAGTACCGTCTCCTTTTTGGAAGTCGGCAGAAAATATCTTTTAACTTCGTCATTTTATAAGATCATGACCTATAGAGCGTGTACATTTACTCTCTAAATAAAATAAACATTACCGGCCCTAATCGTTAATTATCGCTTACTTAATTTTAGTATTAGTTTTTCACATATCTGTGTCTTTCTACTGCTGTTTCGTAAAGAAAGATTGACGTTTTTATCATTAACACCGTTTTAGTATTGAATATTTATATACAATAAAATACTCCCCCTATGAATTTTATGATATAGCATATAAATCATTTTTTCTCAAACAACCGAATAAGAGACCAAAGTAATTTCGACACCCTATTAAGTAGACCCTATTCACCCCTCACTTGTCCTGAATCACCTCTAATCCTTTCCAAATTACCCCTTTCCCGTCCCGAATCACCCCTTTAATTGTCTCTATTCTCCCCTCACACGTCCCTAGTCACCCCAAAATTATCAATAAATGCAGGTCCTTTAAAAAGTTACCATTT